ATCTGTGCCTGATGGTAGAGACAGAGCTACCTCAGGAACAAGTCACAGGCTGCAGAGCAAACCGCAAATAACTAAGTTAGCTGATGTGCGAGTCATTTGTGGTAAAGCATTATCATGAACTCCACTGAGCAGCGATGTGTTCGAACAAACTCTAGCTTAGGTTTGGGGTCACATCTTCACCCATTTCTGTTGTCATGTAATTGCAATGAATTTGTAATGTAGTATAGGAAGGTTTTATTATACAAAAACATCCTGTGTTTCATTTGGTACTGCATGATTCTCTTTAGCTGATGAACAGATTAGGGTCTGCAAAAAGCGGAGCAGAACTTTACCATCACAGTGCTGCAGCCCTGACCCAGGAGAGGAGAGGAGACCAAGCCATTACTATAGAAGGTATGATCCTTGACCAGCTCTGTAAGTATATCAGTGAATTACTCTAAAACCATCTCGTTGAGGATCGAATATATTTGCCATCTTATCCATGTTGATTGTTGGTGTACATGTATCTGTATGTCTACCAAGATGTGCATGGGTATACTGCAGCTCAGCTCTATACCCATCACCATCTGTTGATTTCCAGACCTGGCAAATCAACTTCATCATATAATGTTCATAAATGCATTATATGAAAAAGGAGGAGCAAATGAAGGGTATGTCACACCACCACTAGTCCAAGAAAAATGTTTCTATTCCTGTTGGAATACTTGAAAATGTGTGTCAGCCTGGCAGATCATGAGCTACGTATTGCTGGAAAAAAACCTAGGGGCCAGTAAGTAAAGCTGCAGGCATATTGTGATCGTTTCTGAAATGCCACTGAAGACCACCTGGAATGACTGAGAAAGCAGAACTGACAGCAGTATGTCCTGAGCAATATTAGTTCATCCATTATCTAGGACTGTTCAGGTATTACACACCACACAGTCATAGAGTCTACTCCTTTTTGTCTTCATGATTCACTTGAATTGGTAGGGACTGAGTTTACACCCATCCGAAAACACATCTCTTTCTTAACACCTTTAGGATGTGACTGCCTAAAGTTACCTTCTTATTGAAGCTATTTCCACAAGCAGTGTGTTAGACATGCTTGCTATAAACCCATCACAGCTGAGTTCAAATCAGCGGCTACATCTGCATAATGAACATTTCCTGGTGTAGGAAATTGGTTCTTCATATGTCTTAGAAGTGTCCTTGGCTGGCTGAGCATGGGCCAGCCGGCGCTGCCTCTCTCAAAGAGTTCCCAGCCGCGGTTCAGGAGATAATATAGCCAAGGGACCATCTATAATAGGTAATAGATGGCTTACTGCTTTGGAGGGTATAAGAGGGGACTAGGATAGGCACAGGCCATGGCAGTGAACCTTGGGGTAAGAGAGCTGTCCCAGATGTGGTTAGTGGAGACGTGGCTAACAAAAGGCAGAGGTTTGCTAATAGCTGTAGGACCTTCTTTCCTCATCTTCGGTGTTCTCACATTGTCTTGTGATAATAACAGGGATTCAAGTGTGCTTTTGACAGGGGATAATTGTTACCATCAACATTCAGGTGAGAGCCATCAGATACAAAGGCATTCTGACTCAAGAAGCTGCTGAGCAGCAAATGACTGGAGTCTAGAGAAATATTCAGGGAAAATGGTACTCCATTTGGGTTTTTTTCATCATTTTCCATAGCCTTCTGCTGTTGGCCCTGTCTGAGACAGGGTCCTAGTCTGGATGGACCTTTGGGCCAGTCCTCTGTAGACACTAATGTCTACATTACATTAATGTCTTATTACATTATTACTAATGTCTTATTATTAATGTCTTATTACATTAAGAGGATTGGGACACAACAGGCTGTTAAGATTAGTATCCTGATCTAGGTACTCCCTTGTCTTGGTTTTATGCTTGCTTTCCTTGTAGTCCTTTCCCAGAGTAGCATCAAATCATTCAAAAGCATTATAGGGAGAATGGTGTTAGTAGTATAGCAACACTATAATTGTCTCAGCAGGATAAACCTTGCAGTACTTGAATACTTTGTCCTTGCTATGCCCTAAAGAGAGAAAAACAAGTTGTATGCAGGATGTAGAAGAACAAAACAAACCACTGTTAGGGTGGCATATCTTGATGAAGTTCCCTTGTACCAAGGCAGAAGATGTTATAAAAACAAACAAGGGCTGTAAACCAAGGGTAAGAGCCTTGTTCAACTCTTGGGGTTGCAAATGTATATGTTCAGCCCCAAATTACTCATCTGCAGTTATTCCCACAGTCATAAATAAAAAATTTCATGAGCTTGGTTGAAGAAATATAGTCGGAGTTTGCTTGGAAGCTTCAGAAATGTTACGAAATAGTTTTTGATCTGTCATGTGCAATTCCTTGAACTTGGTAATAGGGAAGGGAATAGATCCAGGGTGAAACAGAGAGCGCTGCTTCAGGCCAATGGAGCAAAAAGCAGGCTCATCCATGGAGCAAGAGGATTGTTCTGAGCAGAATCGCATCAGGGATGCATTTGGCATAACGCACTTGACCGAGGAGGGAATTCGTTCCTTTCTTGAGAATCAATAACCAGCCTCGATCTACCTATGGAAAAATCAGGTTCATCTGGCAAAGCACTGGAGGACGGATGGATCTCATGAAGGCTTTCTCTTTCTATCCTTACAATCCTTTCTATTTGTGAAAATGGGATTATTTGTAACTTCACCAAGAGGACAACATTACTGCTGTGTGGTACTATTACAACAGAAAATAGATACTGTGCCTGTTTCCTAGCTCACCTCCATGGTGGGTCTACGACTTATCGTTGGTTCTGTGAAATGGCTATTGACAGAGTCTGCTGAGGCACCCAAGGGGCTTTAGTTGTAATTATTTTAGGTTTTATCCTCCTGCCTTTCTGTACTGTTTGTTATACTGAACCAAACCTGCTGTCACAATTTGGGATACCATTAGTACAATGGTTTACGAGCCCTGACCTGCAGTCAGTGATGGTCCACAGTCCAACACCATGGGTCTCAAAACCAAACTTCTTGTCATTAGGTTTAAATTCACACTATGGGAATTTGCTGCTCCATTGGAAGGACCAAATCCAAAAAAGGATGGAAACCACTGGACTAAGGGGTCCCTTTGTGAGCACCCACAGCTTGGGCTGCAAGCCTGAAATGCTGAGTGCTGCCTTCAGCTACACCTGGTCGCTGCACTGAAGTCAATGGAGAGCTGCTTTAAAAATCCTTTTTCTGTGGATATTGGAAGAATTTTAGACACTTAAAAAAAAAAAGTGTAACCGAAAGAAGATCCTTTTCTTTGACTTCAAGTTGACTGTCTGCTTTGCACCTTGCTGCTTAACCTACACACGGCAGATCTGGGCTGATGTGCTCTGGCATCCCTTTTTAACGTGTCACTATTGCGATTCATTCATCCCAAGCTCACTAACTTGTTCATTTTTTAAGCAAAATAAAGCCAAGTGTTTTTGAAAGGTGTTGCATTCTCACCTGGGCAGACAGGTCCAGGACGTATAATAAGATAGTTGATTGTAGGGGAAGGAATCAGCTACACAAGTGGAGGCAAGCAAAACCATAAAGAAAAAAGCCCAGTGCAGTTAACAGCCAGGCAACAGGAATCTCTTCATAGTCTTGCCTTAGATCTCATGCAGAGCTTTGGGCAAGTTATTTGGTTGCCCTGTTTGGTAATACCCACCTTGCAGGGAAAAGCTAAAAATTGAGGCGCTCAGATCAAAGATTGCTTTAAAACACAGAGGAGCATTAGGTCACTTAGTGCTACCCTTTTACTGAAGAAATAGGGCATAGGAGTTTGTCCCCCTGACCTTTTTAAAGTTCCCTGCTTGGGGTGATGGTTAGGATATTTATCTTTTTATTTTTATTCTGTTGTCTTCATCGGTTAGTCTCGTTTTTGGGCTGACTGCGTGGTTTTCAGGGCAAATTCAAGAGAGCACTATCTGCCTTTACAACAATCTCAGTCACTGCAGGAGCGGAGCTCTCACTTTGAGAGAGTGCAGGACACTTGCATTTCATTCACACAATCTAGGAAACAGTGTTATGTCCATGAGTTGCTCATTTTAAGCTTAGCTTTAGTGGTTCACGTCAGATTTGCGCGTCCCCTGTTGCAGATTAACCTCCTAAGCGTGGCAGCAGAGGGGTGAAAGCAGAGCAGTGCTCCTGGGGGTTATGCCAGCAGCGTGTACTGTGCAGGAAAAATAGGTTTATGCTTCTGTGAGTGGAGAAAGCAGACTTAAAGTTTGTAATAAAGGCCGTAAACCACCTTTCATCCATTCAGAGCAACAAGAACTGACTTATCCTAAATGTTTCATCACTTGTAAGTCAATGATTTAACGTATTAACCAAAGAGGAGTCTAGTCCTGTAGAAGCACTGGCTGATCCTAATGCTTACAGCTTTTAACCTGCTTATCAGGGGCTCCTGCTTTGCAAAGATGTTTTCCTAAAATGCTGTTGAACAAGTTGAAATGATCAATCCGGTGCTAAAACAGATGCAGAATATTTTCCTCTCGGGGAAAAAAAAAACCAAAACAAACCAAATTCTCTCATCCTACTTTCATGTGGTTCTATCCTTCATATAGGATTGCTTAAATCCTCCCTCACACCTCGGATAGCACATATAAAATTGATCTGTCACGCACTAAACTGCAAGTCATCAGGACCCATGTACTATA